GAAAGTTATTTTGTAACTGTTTTTTTAAGGGTGTAAACTTGTAAATTTAAAAATAATAAAGTACAAGTGTTATGCATAAGTTTTATGACAAATGGATATGTATACAAGTGATTTATTATGAAGTTTATAAAATTTATATAAATTAATGTAATTGGCATTTACTTTATATAGAACACCAAATAACATAGATGTTAGAACTAATGCCAAAAGTGAATTACCAAATACACTTAGAGGCTTCGTTTGGTCACTTATTAATTCTGATTCCTCTTGAGAATCTATTTTACTTAATGGAGTACTAGAAGCTTCTTTAAAAATAAGATCCTCTTGATGATCTACTTGAGATGGTTCTTCTGCACGAATGTCTAATATCTGAGTCGATGGATTACAATTAAACTTACTAATCAATAACAATGGATCGTATTCTTCATAATCAATATTAAAAACTGGGCATCTACTTTCTATCTTAGATGAACAAAACTTTTTAAAAATTTCATATATCTTAGCTATGCCATCGAGGTACATGCATAATTCATCACAGTTTCCGTTACATGTATTAGCCATACTATGAAGGTAATTAAAATTGACATAGTAATCATACAGCTTTTTAGCATTTTCCCATTTATCGTAATAACCAATAATAGGATCATAAGGTTTACATTTGTAAGGATTAGTTTTAAGGAAAGCAGAAGTAGCATGACTCCACATGCGTTGAATTTCAGCGAATGCAATAATGCACTGTCTTTGATTATTTTTAAGGGATTTTAAGAGCTCTTCTGACAGCCAATAGGTTAAGAGTTTACAATCAATATTATTGTATCCAGGTATTTTCTGTATATCTTTTTGTTTTATTAAATAAGTCACATATTTTGAACAAAGTTCTTTAATTTTATTCAAATTATCGAAATTACCATTAAATATACTACAGTATATTAACTTGGAACTATTTAAATTCATAGGATCTTTGTCCAAAAATTTATAAAATTTGAATGAAGGCAAATCAGTTTTTTTAAAATCCTGAAAATTTTAAATTAAAAAAAAGAATATAAATATTAAGATATTCATTAATATTATATGTTTCTTATTTTATTTCATTAAGTAGAGGATATTCATTAATATACATATATGCTATAATATGTGCAAATTTAAATGTATCCATACCTGCGGTTCTGCTTTAGGCATTTTTACATTTTATAACATAAGAAGTTTGAGAAATTGTCAAACAATTAATATTTCTAAGTGAATATGAATAACCTAACGATGACCATATATAACGTGAGAAAATATAGAATGTGTTAATTTATACATAAGTACATATTTTAAAATGTTAAAATAATCCTTATAAGATATATTTTTTAAAAAATTATATACAAAATTCGAATAGAAATATATTATTTATAAATCAATTATTTGTTTCTTAATCTTCATTATTATGGGACTGATGCACCATATATTAAAAAGAAAAATAGATTAAAAGTAATTATTTGATGTTCTTTTTTAAATTATGTTTAAATAATAATCATAATATTTTTGAATTATATTATATAATATAAACATAAAAACAAACATATAATTTAATTTCAATTAATATTACATTGTACATATGTAATTAATATACGTATAATATAATTTCCAAAAAATTGAAATATATATAAAACATAATATAGCTATTAATCATATATAATATCATTTAAATCTATATCTCGTTTTTGTCATTTATTTTGATATTTCTAGTAAGAGGTTCATATAATATTATAAAGTTAGAACTAAAAATTTATACATTATAACACAAATGAATCATATGTTTTAATCATTAGGAATTATTCAAGTATAAATCACTATTGCTGTTTTTTATCTATATGTTTTCATATGTATTTTATATCAATTAAAATTATATATTTGCATTATTAATAATGATTCATATCTAGTTCGTGATTTAGAATTAGAATTGAGATTTTAGATTACTTTTTATACTTTAATTATTGTTTTGAGAAACCAATGTATTGTGTATACCATATTTTTACAATTTATATGTTTTTTTTTATATGTTGTGTGCTATTTGTTATGTTTTTTAACAATTATATGATGAACATCGAGAAAATTATATTAATATTTTATTCTATATTTATGTGTATTAAATAAAATATTGCATAACATGTGAATTATATTATTTTTAATATGTATTTTTATAACAATGTTATTTAGTAATTTAATCTTCCGCATCATATTTTTTTATTGTTTATTTGTAAATACATTATTCATAGATTTATTGTGTTATAAGGTTTACTATATTATTACTACATTTATAACATTATATATACATATATAATATAAATGTGATTTCAAACACCATAATATCTGATATATACACCATTAGTTTAATATTTTTTGTTTATTAATCATTGTTATTAATTCCATCATAACATGTAAATATTTAATAAAACTGTAGCGGTATATGAAGTAAATATTATTGTTATGTTATAGAAAAATATGATTTTACGTTTACATTTCATTGAGAGACATATTATCCACAAACTTTTTTTATATATTTTTAGATATATTTATATTTTATTATATTAATCGATTGTTAATACAATTAAAATTATATTATCT